AATTTTTTTGTTAATTCAAGTGAATGTTTTTTCCACTTCAGGCAACAATCTATATAATTTTCTAAATATTTTATTTCTGGGGTTCTTAGATATTTATCCTGGGTGTGAATTCATTTATTTCACCAAGGAACCCAATCTCACATACTATGATATTTTCATATAATTTTTTTTTCAATTGACAGTAAAATAAATCAAATTAGTATCTCTTCATAGACTCACAAATAATTCAGAAATTTGCTTTCCCACCAAAATTTTGGGTCCCCAGTTCAATGAAAATTTCCATTTCCGTGAGTTCAGTGTCACGTAGTTTGAAGAAATATTATCAGACTCTTCATATCATACAGACCTGTATTATCTTCACGTATCCACAATAATATTTACAAACATTGACCAGATTGACCTTTTCTGGAGATTATCTATTCCAATATAAATTGTTACATCGTGATACTCCAGTTTTATAGCAACCTCGACCATGAAAACTTTTGTTTGGTTCGTTTGTGTTCTTGTAATTTTGGCTAAGGTGAGTTTAATTTCTTCTGGAAAAGTAACAAATCACTTCAAGGCAATGTTTTTCACAAACTTGAAATGAGTTTCACCAAAATATCGAACGCAAAAATATTTCATTCAGTGACTCTTTGTGATAATTTCCTTACGAATTTAAGACACTTTGCACGAAGTATGTTGTCGATGAGTCGAAATTTTACCTTCATTTTCCACTAATAAACCGCAAATTTTCGAGTATAGATACGGAATGCTCATTTCCGACCCGAACAACTTCAAAAAAGTAATGGAAGATTGAGGAAATTATAAAACTGTTCTTTGTTTGTTGCCAATCTCCCTCGAGAAGAAAATGGAAGCAAATGTAAAGTTTTTCTTGAATAAAATATTCAACATCAATGTTTTCGATAACGAATGAACCAGTTTTGAGGAAAGCAATAGAGGTAATAGAGTAACAAGAGTCATTTCAATTGATGTGTCGCTCGACTTCTATGCCATTAGAAAGGACTTGTTAAAATGTGGGAATGTCTTTAATTTTTCTCTTCTAGTTTTAATACTTGTTTCTACAAATAATTTCATACCCTCTGCAGTTTTTCTTCTCTTCATCAGCTTCTTGTTCATTGGATTACTCCTTCAGCGTTACCTTTTTCATTTTTCATTGTTTTACTTATCAATATCGTGATCACTTCTTCTCATTCCTTTTTTCTGTTCATGATTCATCTTGAAATTGTCTCCATTCTGCTCTTTTTATTGTTCTTCATTCCTCCATTAGCCTCTCATCCATTGACTTCTACGCTTTCAGTATTTCCCTTTTCAGCTTCTATTGTATCACCGATCAATACTTTCATTACTTCTCTTAATACCATTCTCCTGTTCATAATTTCTTTCCGAATTGACATTTCTTGTCTCTTTTTTCAGGCCAACGCCCTCGACAAGGCTACAACCAAAGTCAAAAATGTTCATGAAGCTTGCCAGGCTGATCCAGGCACCCACGCCGATGAATATCTGATCGAAAGAGCCCGCATGGAACAGGTCGATCCAAAAAAAGTAGGACTCCACACTCTCTGTATGAACGTCCATGCAGGTCTCCAGAAAGAGAACGGGGACATCGATAAAGACGATTTGAGGAGAGCATTGAGCGAAGGGATCCATGATTCTGCTAAAGTCGAAGCCATCGTAGCGGACTGTGGAGTACGTGTTGGTGATACTCCAGAAGAGGCCTCTGTGAATCTTTTCAGATGTATATTTGGCCATGAAAATGCTTATGTACATGAGTGGAAGCCTCCTCTGATACACTCTTGAGCCAATCGAACTATATCCATAGTTTTGTCAGCATTGCCTGTGACTATCGGGGCAGTATTATTGCGTTGAACTGATGAATTATTCGGCAAATATGAATTCATAATAGATCGATTAACAACTGTCTCAAATACATTTTCAAATATTTTCAACAATCAGTATTTCATTGCTTAAGTCTAATGAAGAACTCGTCTATTAAAAAGCATGTTCCCATTTTGGACATATTGGACACTGGACACATATTGGACATTTTTCTGAGAGCTTCAAGAGGTGATCTTTTGATTCATTGCAAATTATGGTCTGGAAAATAACTAAAACCTTAGTGATAATATGATTTGGGGAGGATGCTTCAAATCTCTCAATAATATTTTGTACTTTTGAACACTATGTTGGGTGTTTCAAAAGATTACACTAGTCTTCATATTTGACTTATGTCAAAAAAAGATTTTGTTGGGTGGGTTATTGAAAACAATAAAATAGTAGCAGTAATCTACGATTTATCGTGTGTAACTACAGTGAACAGTATGATACTTCATTTTTTTGTCCACATTGATAAATGCAAGGTTTTCTTTTCTAGACAGCCCAGTTTTTAATAGATCTGTACTGTCATTATTTCATGGGAAACTTCATAATCTCAGAAAGTTCTCATTTCAAAAAAAGGTATAAATATCCGATTATATTAGGAACGTATTTGAAATTCCAAAAGGGAGTTATAGTCTATACGAAGTCAATCCGCACAGATGAATAAAATAATAATGTACCGGATCTAATAAATTCACCAGTTGATAATATATGAAACCTCACACATAGATATGATGATTACACTCAGGATTATGCTACGCTGCCCATGCTATTGAAAAAAACTGCCGACGTTCGGTAACTATTTGGTTTTTATGTATATTTACATTCATGCCATTTGAATTGACTTTATATATACTATAAAAGCCATCAATGAATGAATACATGAAGTCAAATGAGTGAATAAAATTATTCAGTGATTCCAAGAATGTTAGGTTTTTGCTTCCGACTGGAAATATGATTTGTACGGTAAGTAAGGAAACAGAAAACAGTTCAGTGGAATGATGCTACATAAAAATATTATTTTGAATACATGAACACTAACAGATTCATATACAGAGCAGTAGCAATTTCATCACGTCAGGTATCAATTCAGGAAAGGAATCTCTGTCAAGTTAAATCCTAATTTAAATTGAAATATCTAGAAGGACAAATTTCGAACTCAATTCTGCTGTTGATAAATTATCAGATTGTGACTGTTCAGTTCCAATTCCTGAAGCAAAGAGAAAAAATGACTCGCAAGTTTTTGTTATTCAAGCTTTAATTTTGCAAGTCTTTCTCTCATTTTCGAAGTTGAATTTCTTCGTTTAGTCCACTCGATTACCTTTTTTCCTTTTTCCCTTGCCAAAAAGGGCCGATGTCCATAAAGAGAGGGTAACCTCTACTTGAAAGTTGACCCTGTATTTAACATATCTCTGTCTATCAATAGACATGATGGTTTATCAAAATGAGTCCGCCAATGCATATACTGACTAATTCTAAAAACTTTAAAAATTGAAAGTTTTGACGTGAAGTAAGTATTAAACTATGCATTTCATAAGAAAACTAAAAGAACCCTCTTTGAAAAGCTTGAAGACCTCAATAATGATTTTTCACAAAAGTCCGTAGTATCAAAACCAATCGAAGTATGACAAAAATAATCCCAATTTTCATCTGCAACAAAATTTGTCAATGTTCTTTCCTAATTATCGTCCCAACTGGAAATTAACATCATCATTAAAAAATTCACTTCAATAATGTACTTGCATTAACCTGCAGCACCACATCATCTGAAGATTGATCTGCCAATGTCTTTTCTCTCTCATGAAACAAAATGTGGGGTGTCCCCAGAGGACATTGGCAGATAAAGATCTTCAGATGATGTGGTGCTGCAGGTTTTTCCGGGTTTTCCTGCAGCTGAAAAATCAAATGCGCCACTGGAATCAATGAAGTGGCCCCGGAGAGCCAATTAATTTTTGTTGTTTTTTTATAATTTCATGATGCGTATTTTGGAAGTGTTGTTATTATACATAATAACTTGTAATATGCTCTAGTAGTTCAATCGTTTGAAGTTTCAGAGAAATTTTAATTTGAAGTGCTAAAGCATTTTGTAATTTTTTGAAAAATTGCCTTTTCTTCGAGTTAATTCAAAAACTGTTAACGATACGTAAAAATAGCTATGATATTCTTTCAAAAATTTTATGACTATTGAGTTATTTTGCAAACTAAGCACTTCGAATCTGTCAAACTTTGACAGATCAAATCAAACGAATGAAGTGAATTGGAAAGTGGTTATAACCCGAAGCAACAACCAAGAAATAAAAAATTGAACTATCAACAAGAGATTAATGAATTATTAACAAGAAATGAAAATTGGAAGATTCCAAACCAAGTTACTACACTACGTTTCGATTGTTAGTATCCACAATCGTCTTCCGGTGATTTTGATCAGGTTGAAGCCTGGCTTCCTTCCCTTTGAACTGATGTTTGCCAGAAGGACAAATGAATCATAACTGATGATAAGTGTTGATGGTATGGCGGCATGAAGGTTTTCGAGCCAGACACGGTCGAAGGCCTTCGAGATATCTAGTAGCACAATGTGTACTTTTTTGTTGCTATTTAGCTCTTGGATGGTGTTTTCGACCAGCCTTAGAGCATGTAACTCAGTGGAGTGTTCTCTCCTGAAGCCAAATTGTTCATCAGGCAGAACATTATGGTCCTCTACTTCTTCGTTGAGCCTTTGAAGAACAACTCTTTCAGCCAGCTTAGCCGCCGACGAGAGCAGACTGATCGTGCGATAGTTCTGTGGGAACAGCGGGTTCTGACCCTGTTTTGGGATCATGATGACGATCGCATGTTTCCACCTTCTGGGGAAGTGCCTGAGGGCCAACGAACTGTTTATAATGTTCAATAAATATCCGACGCAGTTGTCTGGAAGCTTCTTCAACAACTTGTTAGTTATTGGGTCAACCCCTGGAGCTTTCTTGGCCTTTGCGGCCCTGATGTATCCCTTCCGTTCTTCCACAGAAGCTGGACGGATGTCGTCGTCGTCATCTTCCCTAAGAATTCCGTGAACCCGGTCTTCCGGTCATCATTATCGTCAACGATAAGCTGAAACTAACGTTCCATCGTATCAGCAAAGGCTAACGCTTTGTCGGCGGGTGAATGGGTGAGAGAGCAGTCTTCTTCCCCCTGAGCCTACGAGTGACTCGCCAAAGCTCGTCACTCCCAGGCTCGAAGGATTCCAAGAGCTCTTCCCACCTTTCATTTCGGTGATCAATGATGGCCTGCTTGACTTGGTTGGCCATCCTATTTGCCGCAATTTTGTCCCCTGGGAAAAGGGTTCGCTGATAGAGCCTTCTCAAGCGATTTCTCTCTCGTATCAAGGCTTTGATACGAGGAGGAAACTCGTTATAGCTCTTCAGCGGACAATCCTCCCTGGAGGTGGCCGCTCGAAACGCATCATTTGACCTATTTCTCCGAGATCTGACTATTTATAAGTCATTCGAGTGCTTTCACCTATCCCCTCTTTCCTCTCTCCGCTTCATCGGTTTTAGCGGAAGCTGACCGTTTGGTCGGAGATTCTTTCGAGATTTTAAATCAATTTGTATCATATTAGACAATGGAAGTCCGAACTAATGAAATGCAAAGTATTCTTCACTCCCAAGAAAAACTGTGTGTGAAAATAAATATGAATTGACTAAAAATATGTAATTTTTATCGGGCGCATGAAACTATGATTGATATTCGACTTTATACAAAATGTTTTGTCTTAAAACTGAACTAATAAAAATGAAAGAGATTATACTTCCGTTGAGAAAACAATTTTTATCATGTTGATTGACCTTTCCGTAAACAAATATCTCATAAGAAAAAACATGCTGTTCTCAGTTATTTGAATGTGGTGAAAGCCATGTTTATTTGTTTGTGTGGATTGATTTGATAATTTATATTTGTTCATTTCTCAGAGTTAGGTGAATGAACTATGGACTACTGTTATCAATATGTGTTGAATTACGTGATTGACTCCATACTAAACACAATTAAGGATCCTTTACAAGTAAATAGTACCTAACCAAATAAGTACACGTCTTTAAACCGTTCAGATTTGCTAAACCAATAGGTACCTACACTTCATGCTTGTCATATTTTTGTGAATGAAAACTAAAGTGCTGAACCACAGTCGAGATATATCGCATTCACAAATGGCATATACGAGGGGTTTACCAAATATAACAATGTACCAACAAAATATTTTGAAATTTCAATGTGGTGCGTTAATTTATTGGAGAATTGTATTTTGTTATAGAGGAAGGGAGGTGTTTTATTGACAATAACTCTGTGAAATCATCTCGAAGGATGAAGAGTCTGTCTATATGTACATTATCAGCCACCTAGCTTTTTCAAGTGTATGAGAAATCGATTCTCTTTTCTTGATACCGTACGAAAATCTTAAACAAGGATTTTGTACTCTTTGAATTTGTTGTTGCTCATTTCTCTTCAGAAAATAATGATACACTACGTCACAATGGTTAAAATTAGATAGTATCAACGAATCTCAAACGAGAAATTTGTTTTATAGGCCTATGAGGCCATGATACTTTCATTTTGCCAAATTATCTTTGAATCAATGTATCTATCTTGTGAATTTCCTTCCAAATATGATTACAGAGCATTTGGAATTGATAACTTCCAGGTCATGCTTTTTCGATACGTTTTCAAATTGATAAATCCTCATTAATGATATTTTCGCTATGCTGTATAGAGTCAGGGGTGAAAGAATGATACAACTGTGTATCATCGGCATACATATGATATTTGAGTTTTTTTGAACAGGTTGTCAAATGGTAGGTGTGAATTATGTAGAGGATAGGTCAAAGGATTGAACTCTGTGGGACACCTGAAGAAGTTTTCTTGAAATATGAAATGTTGTTCTCCACTCTAACAATTTCTTGTCTATGTGAAAGATATGAATGAAAAAATTTCAAAATGCTGTGAGAAATTCCGTTATAATGTCGAAATAGGTATCAAAAGCTTCACTAAAGTCGATCAATTTCGGAACAGTAATTTCGTCTAGCAATAGCCTTTTCCAAAATTT